CCTTTCCAAGAGGGACCACTGCATTCACACAATGTGTGTTTGCAGATATGGATGCTAGGAACAAAGGCAAGAGAAATGTGTATTTGTCACATGATTTTTCCTGTTGGTAATCACAATCATCAGAAAGGATTTGTTTTTGTTTTTGTTTTTTTCTTTATTGATTTTAGAGAGAGAGGGGAAGGGAGAGGGAGAGAGAACAGAAACATCGATAAGAGAGAGAACATCAATTGGCTGCCTCCTGCATGCTCTGCATTAGGGATCAGGCCCACAACCTGGACCAAGAATCGAACTGGCGACCTCTTGGTGCATGGGTCAATGCGCAACCACTGAGCCACATCGGCCGGGCAGGAAGGATTTTAGCACTTGACAGTTTTGCACCTTAGTTCTGACCTGGAGGAGGGGGTGTGGGGGTCAGTGTGACATGTACAGGTTAATTACTGAAGGGCAAAGTCAAATGAACAGAGGGCTTAACTAGTTCCCTAAACAGAGAACTGTCTGGTGCCTTCCTGCCAGGTCCTTTCTGAGGGTGCTGCCACTATAGCCCAAAGGGCTCTGTAATCTTTGGCTTCTGTTAATGTCTCACTGATCCCAAATGACATTGCTCTCTAATTCAAATATATATATATAAATTTTTTTAATTGATTTTAAAGGGGGAGAGAGAGAGAAACATCAATGAGAGAATATTGATTGGCTGCCTCCCGCATGCCCCTCACTGAGCATCGGGCCCACAACCTGGGCATGTGCCCTGACCGGGAATCGAACCGGCGACCTCTTGGTGCATGGGTTGATGCTCAACCACTGAGCCACACCGTCTGGGTAAAATATATATATTTTAAATGTTTAGATAAATACCTTAAAAGGGACACCTTGAATTTAAGCCTTGAAGTGAAATAAGGTGCTTCATCTGCAGTGACAAGAAAACTGGAAACGGTGGGACACCTGCAGGGTCAGCCAGGCGGCCGAGGACTGCCCTTGGAGGCTGTCTTTCTCCCCTTGTACCTTGCAGTACACTCTGCGTGTACCCTGGGCTCCCAGCCTAGATGACGGCGGTCAGGATAAGCGGCAGCTATAACGTAACGGGGCTAAATGAAAGGTTTCAGACTCCAACTTTCAATTATAATCCAGAAGAGGATTTAGTAATGGAACTGAAGGTAACTGGAGCTCAGCTGGAGGAAAAATGTGTATTCAGATTATCTGGTGTTCCAGTTGCTCTTGGTAGGGGCTGATTCATTTATTCAGCAGATATTTATCAAAGGCCCATTTGGGACAGGTGCTGGGCTCAGTGGTGAACACAAACACCACCCTGCCAATGTGGGGCTTATCGTGGAGCACAGAGAAGGCAGGCAATAACCAGGTGATGATGAAGTCCACTTAGGGTGAGGGCTATGAATTAAAAACACAGGTACATTTGGCCGGTTTGGCTCAGCAATCACAGCGTCGGCCCACGGACCAATGAGTCGTGGGTTCAATTCCAGTCAAGGGCATGTACCTCAGTTGCAGTTCATCCCCGGCCCTTGTTGGGGTCGTGCAGGAGGCAACCGGTCGATGTGGCTCTATCACATCGATGTTTCTCTCTGTCTGTCTCTCTCTCTGTCTCTCTCTCTGTCTCTCTCTCTCCCTCCCTCCCACTCTATCTGATGATAAATATAAAAATATCCTCCAGTGAGGAATTAAAAAAAAAACAACAGGCACATTTAGACACTGTTAAGAAAATCTTAGATAGATTTTGTAAATCTATCTAAATATGTAGAGAAACTCGCAATATAGAACACCTTAAAATGCTGGACAAAACATAAAAATCAATCTTTTTTGTCAGTTTTGTTAAGGTATAATTTACATGTAATGAAATTCACTGATTTTAATTGTACGATTCAGTGAATGTTGACAAACGTCCAGAGTCATGTAATCACCACATCATGATACAGCACATTTCTATCATCCCACAAAGTCTCCTTGTGTCCTTTTACTGTCAGTCCCTTCCCCCCACTCCTAGCCCCACCCCCGGGACCACTGGTCTACCTCCTGTTAGGATAGTTTTGTGTTTTCTAGAATTTCGTATAAATTAAATCATACAGTATGTAGACTTTGGTGATGTTTGTTGGAGGAGGTCATCGAGAGCAAGTGACCACCTGTTGACCCAGGAGCTGGACCCAGGAAACAGGGGGCTTCTCACCCGCACCCCTGTCCTTGGAATGTGCGCCTACTTACCTTCCCAGCCAGAAGCTGCCCCAACGCAGCCTTGAGACAGTCATGTGTTGTTGGGACCATCTGGACAGTACACATGGCTGAACCCAGCTAAGGCCTATATATAAACTTTTAAGTTTCTGGTGGACAGGTGCAGAGATTTTATCTTGTGGCCACCCAAGGCAAGCTCCCTAAGTAAGATCTCTTGCTTGTTAAACCTGCCACCTATCAATCTGGAGTGGTTTTCCTCTCTCTTTGGTCTGTTCTTGCCCTCCATGTATAGGGTCCGGTTTCAGATTTCACCCGGAATGTTCCTGGGGATTCAAACCACAGTGAATCCTTCACTTAGCGCCATGCTTAGATTTCTCCATGTTTGGGAGCATGGCAGGAATCGGTTCCTTTTTATCGACAAGTGCTATCCCCAAGTTGTTTTGTTAATTCCGCAGTTTGTGGACATGTAAGTTCTTTCTGGTTTTTAGCAATCATGAATAAAGTATATAAATATTCACCTATAAGTCTTTGCATAGACAAATAGTTTCATTTCTCTTGGGTAAATGCCTAGGAATGGAATGGCTGGGTCATATGGTATGGTAAGCCAAATTCTAAGAAAGACCCTCAATAAACTCTCACCCTTGTATAACCTCCTCCCCTTTGAGTGAATGACCAGCTATCACTCTCATGGTTGCTCCCTTAGTGGAAAGGGAGATTATCTGGTTGGACCTAATCTAATCATGTGAGCCCTTTAAAAGTCAGTAGGAAATAAAAGGAAGTCCAGGAGATAAGAGGCACAGTGGTCAACGTGTCCTTCCTTACTGCTTGAAGAGGGAGGGGGCCCCTCCGAAGGAATGTGGATGGATGGACATAAGGACCTGAGAGATGCCCCCAGCAAGGAAAGTCTCAACCCAGAGATTAATTATCATCATATTATAATGTATATAGTAAAATCTTAATTCAAATATGCCACTGATTTTTAACTTTGAATAACTCAGATATGAAATGTACAATTTATTGTAAGAAGACACCAATGGGGGCATGTTTGTGTGTGTGTGTGCTGTATGTTATGCCTTGCACAAAGCTCATTAACGTGTTTCATTTTACTCTCTAGTACCTATTTGTGGTTTTGATAAATATAAAATGTCCATACCCCAAAGTAAGAAGGTGGTTTAACATATATAGATAGTCTCATCCATCCTTTTTTGTCCCCCCAAAACCTCCACCTGAAATAGTGAGTTTAATTTTGTAACTGTGTGCATCGTAGTCTGATGGTGCAAGGTTGCATCCAGGACAGCTCTGGAGTTTCTGTGCAGAGGTTATCCAGTCAAATATTCTTCTCTAGGTCTTCCCTCTGCTCCAAACATCTTTATAGGCCTATTCTCACTCCCACCAGGAGCTAGCTAGTGCTCAGTCTGTGCAAAATAACTTTTATTTACTTATTTATTTATTTATTGGGGGAGTATTATTTTTAAATTTTTTCCCTTTATTGATTTTAGAAAGAAAGGAAGGGAGAGGGAGAGGGAGATAGAAACATCGATGAGAGAGAACATCGATTGGCTGCCTCCTGCACACCGCCCCCTGTGGATTTGGCCCACAACCTGGGCATGTGCCCTGAATGGGAATGGAACTGGTGACCTCTTGGTACATGGGTCAATGCTCAACCTGAGGCACAGCGGCCGCGCGCAAAGTAACTTTTAAGTAGTATCTTACGCAGAATAGAGAAAAGCGAATATGCTGTAGGGAATGATGGAATTCATCCTAAAACCATGTATAAATTCTCTTGGGCGGAAGCGATGTGGTACCCACGGGTCTGTGATGCCCACTTAACCCCACCCACGGAAGTCTTGGCATGGCTCCGCCTCCATTCCCAAATATCACTGCCCTCCTATTCCTGTCCTACCACCCTAGTGAATTGAATCTCTGAATCCGCGTTTTCAAACAGGCATCCACTGCCGTCCTTTTCTGGACCGCCTGATGCTAGGCCGCAGTTGTCAGGGTAACAGCGTTTGGGAAGGGAGAACCGGCTCTCCGGAGTTTCCACGGAAACCACTCCCTGCAGAGGCAGGTGCGGCGGGCTCCAGGGCGCCCGGGACGAGCCCTGGGGAGGGGGAGGGGGCAGGGCCCTGGAGAGGCCGCTGGGCGTGGCCGCTAGGCTGCCTTGCGCCCTGCATCAGTTACATGTGCTGTATTTTTTGATAAAGCACTTTCACTTGCAATCCAGAACCACTGATTCCTTCCGGCTGGATAAAATCCAGGCGCCCTCTAGGAGCTGTCCGCACTTTGGAGATGGTCCAGGTCAAGGAGACTCCGCCAAGGATACCCCCAGACAGTAAGGTCCAGTTGGCCGGAGTCCTCTGCAGAGGGGGGTTTTGCGGTGGGCGCCAGGAGCTCGCTGCGCCCTGCATAGAGCCAGGGTACCCCACCAATGCCCAGCCATCAGGCACAAACAGGAGCGAGGTTAGCGGCGGTCCTTGGAGTAGATCCCCTTCACGTTTGAGCCGCAGGTTCGTTAGGTTAACTGGAAACGCACCCGCCTCTTGTTTTGTTTCATAAGCACCGTTGGGACGACTGTCAGATTGAGGCTCGGAGCGAACAGGAAACAACTGAGGTTTCTGGAGAATTCCAAGGTCAAGGTTGGCATTCGAACCTTGCCTGGCGGTCCCTGCAGTCAGTGCAGCTGCGGCGCGGCGGGGGCTGAGGTAGGGTGACTGCGGTTGAACGTGGAAACCGTGGTCCCCAGCCTGTCATCTCTGTGTCTCTGTGGGGAGGAGGGGCTGTCTGACACCGTTATTAAACCTGGCAGCTGCGTTGGTGGCCCCAGGAGCATTTCGAGTGAGCTCGCAGAAAGTGAGGGGCTTTCGGCTGACCGCCCGCTGGTCACTTCTCGCTGCCTGAAGGACGGCTCTGAGCACGTTTCCTTGTCGCTAATGACCGGTGGCGGGGGCAGTGCGCAGCTCCGGGAAACGGCGGAAACGTGAGTACGCGTGGCTCTGCGCCGCTGGCGGCCGGCGGGGCTCCTAAGGCGTCCAGCCCGGTGGCCCGGACGCGGAGGCGGCGCGAGGAGGGGCTGGCGCGTGGGCATCGGGCTGCGGGCGGCCTCGCCACGCACGTCGCCTGCCCTAGTGTGGTTCGCGCCGGCGCGACGAGGAGGCGACAGCCGGCTACTGCAGGAGGGGGTTTGAGCGCTCTGTCTCCAGCACGCGGCTTGGGGACGGGCCCTCTGCTTTGGGGACAGATACACAAAGAACCCGGGGCCTAGGCAGCCGGGGTGGCCCTGCCCGGCCCCAGTTCCTCGGGTCCTTTTTGAGAAAGGGGAGAAGCTGCCCTTTACGGTGGGGTTGAAACAATGAGATTGGTCTGGTGTTTTCCCGTCCGGGGCCTTTGTGCGCTGTGGTCTGTGCTGTGGGAGGGCTGTGCGCCGTCTGTGTTCCTTGGGGATCTCAGAGCCTCTGGGGTTCCGAGTCTCGAGCTCACTCCTTCCTCCCCTTCCGCACAGTGTGTTCTAACAGGGCAGACATTTTATGGAGACCTGACACAGAGCGAAAAGACCTCAGTTCTCTCCTTTCTCCCCAAAGCACGAGTGTGAAGGGGTGTGGTTTTTTCCATCCACTGCTAGAGGAGATCTGGAAGTTCCCATTGGTTTTTATATTTTATTTCTGAACAAGATGTTCAGCTTTACAAAGCTCGCATCACGCGAGGGTCTCTCCATGGTTTATGTATTTGTGGAAAAACCTTAGCTTTTTCCTAGGGGGTCCAAGGAGCGTTTAACAGCCTCGGTCGGCTCCAGAATGTCATGTTCAGTGTGCATTTTCATGTCTATCTGGTTCAGGCCAGAGTGTGTGACACCGAGACGCAGCCAGATCGAAAGCCCGACTCTCGACTTCTCTGAGGCTCAATTTCTTGATTGTCTGGTGCTGGTGGCCACGGGAGGCTGCACCTTCTGCAAGGGGTGGGCCAGAGCTGGGACTCAGGTGATGCTGGGTGTGTGGGCCTTCAACTGGGGGCCAGCTGTTGAAGCTTTCCAGGCCTCGGTTTTGTCATCTGTAAAATGGGTAGAGCAAAATGAGCTCTTACAGAGATGGGCTAAGATTTGTGCTGGTCTTCCTACTCTGTCTTCCTCTAGCAGCTTTTCTGTTATAATCTGACAGTTCCAGGACTGGCTTGATGAGCGCTAGTAGGAAGGGGGAAAAAACCCTGCAAAATAGGAAATTTTAAAATAACAATCCTCAGAAAAAGTTATCAAAATAGCTTAGAAATTGCCTAAAAACACTTTATTCTATTGATTGTACATTAATTTGTAAGGCAAAGAACTAAAACTATTATGAATATGCATATGACCCCACTGATTTTACATATTAGTTATGGCCCTGGGGAAAGGTTGATGTCCCTCTAACTAGAAAATAAGGTGTGATATTTGTGCTTTAATTTTTTCCCAAACCTTGGTTTTCCATCCTGGAGTGTGATTTCTCAGGTTTTTGCAAACGAGTTCTTCACTAATTAAAACCAGCTAATGATTAGGTTAAAAAGAAAGAAATCAAAAAGAAAAAGAAAGCATTGTGAAAAGAAATTAATGTGATTCTGAGAGATTACGTACAACATGATAGAACCAGAAATAAATACCTCTACCGAATTCTACTCTAATAAATGAATGGGTGGAGTATTGTTTCTAATTTTGTCCATCGTACTTTAAAAAGAATGTGGAGAAACTGGAGGAGGGGTTCAGAATGGAGGGTCCAAAATACTTAATGAAACAGAAAGAAGAAAAGTTAAAACAATACCCCCCTCCCCCGGCTGTCTGACATGCTGAGAAGAATGGAATAAAGAAAAGCAGATTTTGATAGAATATGATAAAGAACTTCAAAATGATGAGTGACATGAGCCCCTGAGGAGCTTTAAAAAGAGAATAACTTATCATCTGCCCTTCACGGTCTTGTCTTAGCCATTCTTAAACCTAATGTTAGAGTCACCTGAGGGCTTTCAAACTCTTAGGCCTGGGTCCCTCCCCAGGCCCAGATTCTGACTTATCTGGTCTGAGCGCAGGTATGGGTATTTGGGCAGAGCTCCTGGGGGAAACACTAGGTAGAGAAGCACTGGTTTTGCCTAAGAGACAGTCCATGGCTACAGGGCTAGCAGGGAGCACGCGAGCCCCAGGAGGGCCAGGGGCTAACTGGGTGGGGGTTGTTACCTGTGGGGTCAGCTGTGATCCACACCTGGATGGTAGCCAGCTTTCCCAGATTGGCAACTAATTAGGAGTAAAACCTTTAAAAGTACATTGTGGCCCTGGCCCGTGTGGCTCAGTTGGTTGGAGTGTTGTCCCATGCACCAAAAGGGCACCAGTTAGATTGACAGTCAGGGCACATACTCAGGTTGTGGGTTTGATCCTCAGTCAAGGTATATACAGGAGCAACCCATCGATGTTTCACTCTCTCTCCCCCTCTCCCTTCCATCCTCTCTACAAATCAATAAAAACATATCTATTTTTTAAAAGTATATTGTGCTTGCCAAACAAAACACACCTGTGGAAGCTGGCCCACAGGCCAACCTCAGCACTGGACTTTTCCTGCTCTGTGGGGGAGGAGCAGGGATGGACTTGCTGTTCTCCCAGGGTCTCTTCTAACTCCAGTTCTGCTTTTTGTTTTGTTTGTTTGTTTGTTTGTTTGTTTGTTTGTTTTTTATCCTCACCCGAGGACACTTTTCCATTTTTTGTTCAGATAGAGCGGGAGGGAGAGAGAGGAAGAGAGAGAGAGAGAGAAACATCGATGTGAAGGGACACATCGAGTGGCTGCCACCCGCACGACCAACCAGGGCCGGGGACAAACTGCAACCGAGGTACATGCCCTTAGCGGGAACCGAACCCGGGTCTCTCTGTACCGCAGGCCGACGCTCTAACCGCTGAGCCAAACCGGCCAGGGCTGTTTGTTTGTTTTTTTAATGCTTTCTGTTTAGCTTAAATATTTCTCTGCTTCATTCTTTTTGAAGGCCTATGTCTTTCTGGCTGAGTGTGTACTCCTTGATAGATCTCTCTGGATTATTGAATGAGAAAAATTCTCTAGTTCCCTACCCTTCCCTTGACTGAAAGTTAAGGAGGGTGATCCCTGGACTTTGGTATAGTGACCATGGGCCCCGGAGGTAGGAGGTAACCATACCTGTCTTCTCCCCAATGTGAACCACTCAGAGCTCCCTGCTGGTGTGGTGGAGTTGGGGTGAATGGGGCTTGGAAAGCTTGATCCCTCTATGGGATGCGTGGGAACTGACCCGAAGCCCTTCTGGTGTCTGTTGGGTTGGGAAAGAGGGCGACGTGGATTGGCCATGCATGCAAGCAGCGCTAATGTTGTAGCATGCTTCCAAAAGTCCCCAGTTCCCGCATCTCTTCAGTCTCCCTCCAGCCTTCCCTAAACTGCACAAGCAATGGAAGATAGTGTGTCTCCATGAGCAAGGAGGAGGCATCCAGACCACTCTCCCCAGGTAAGAACTTCTTTGCCAGAGGTAGAGAAGATCAGGAGATCTAAACATGTCACGGCTGGGTTCTCACTGCCTCTGCCCTCTGGGTTAGGGCTGTTGGTATTCTGTTTGGATGTTGGGGACAGGCCAAGTGACAGGAAGGCAGACCGGGGTGGTACCTCTCTCCTTCCCAGTGAGGAGGGATGGAGAGCCTTCCAGGTGACAAGGAGCCAGATGACAGGGACTCACACAGAGGAGATGAGCACATACCCCAGCACCATGAACAGAAGCCAGCTTTCTCAAAGCCACTTTGTTAAGCAAAGTGGCACTGTACATAGATGCAATCAGCATTTCATAGCAGCTGCCCATTTTCACTCCCCGTGGGCTTGGGGTCAGCAAGAAAACCCAGAGTGACTGAACCGATGCCAGGCTCCCTCCACGGTGATGACAACCTCCCGAAGCTGTGGCCCTGCTGTCTCAGTCCTTCTGCCAGCCCCTCAGTTCTCCAAAGTTGAAAAAACAGCACCTGTGATCCGAATAGCTTACTATCAATGAAACAGGAAGGAGAGTTTTGAAGTTAGAATGTGGAAACAGCCCAGAGGAAAGGGAAGGAAATAGGATTTGGCTAGCTGATTGGGTTCTGACTGCCCAAACCTAGAAATGTGTTTCTTAGAGAGGTAGCAGCCACACCAGCCCAAATACTGAGCTGCCAAGGCCCCAGGCTGGGGCAGATATTCTCTACCCTGGTGTAATCTTCTCTCTCCTAATGACTGCATGAAGATGGGGAGATTCTACTGGAATCCTAGATGAACACATTCTATCCCATCAGATTGTGCCACCAGCTGGAGGCCAGCTTCCAGGGACCAGGATGTAAGGTGAGCACTTCTAGACCCGTTCAAGGGTCTGACTCACTTGAGACCACTCTGCAGCCTGTGACTCTGGAATGGCTGTGTGAGATTCCTCCTACTGCAGCTTCCTCGTAGTCACGGGACCAACCTGCACAGTGGCGTCTGGAATCAGCCTCACCTGATGTCTGTCTGTCTTCCTGCCGTAGCCCAGGCTGATTGTGAGATATTGTATCAATTGCCGTGCCCTGTGCCTGGATCAAGTTCTACCCATTTCTGGCTCCATAATGACAGGTTGCCTGTGGAGAATACTGGCCAATGGGCTGTTTACACAGCCAACTTGTATTTTTTCCTTAAGGTAGTTTATCCAGATGCCTCACCATTCTAGAACCTTCCTGTTGGCTCTTTTTGGCAAATTTACTCCTAAGAGAACATCTATTTAAGTGTGTCCAGGGACAGAGAGAGAAGGTAAAACTCAAAACCATTCCTTTGAACTTCTTTAGGATGGTGGTAGAAGAATTAGGGGAAGTCTGATACTGTTTGCTAAAATGTAGCTGTATACTCATGGCTGTTTAATTAATCACTGCCCTGCATGATCTAAGATTCTTGGTATGTGAGGTTAATAAGAATATTAGTAAAGTGCAAAAACAATTCCATTGGAAATTTTGTTTTATTTTAAAGTAGATTG